TTTAGGTTGTAGGGACAACTTTTTCAACTGTCAAAGAAATATTTTCCTCCCTAATGCTCTTAGAGAACATCATAGGAGAAATATCAGAACAGACGCTGTAGGTCACACAGATCCCTAATTGTTGTGCCTGCCCCTGGGTGGTGGGAAATGATCGCTATGGCTGCTGAGGTTGTGTTTACCCAGCCTTCAGTAAGCTAAAGAATCACCTGCTATTGATCTGTAATAGAAGCAGGAGTTACATTCGACCTTATACAATGTTACCGTTACTCTGGGGCTATGTACATTCAGACAGTCGGAGGAGGGAGGAGGCCTCAACAGCTTCTGCAGCCCAGCATAGACATTTAGGAAAGCCATCAGCTGAAACCATTTCTGGTTCTCACAGCTACCTCAGAAGCCTTCCTGGGTGGTGGGAGAAAACATGGACTTACATGTTGGAAGTAAATACAGTAAAGATGAGTAAGAATCCATTTCTGCGAGCCCCCCTCCCAATTTTTTTTTTTTTTCTGAAAGGATCAGTACTTATACCATGAAGTTTGAAGGAAGCATAAATAGTGAGTATCTTACAGTGTCAAGGTTGGTGCTTAAATTATATTAGGTAAAATATAATTTTATTAATACCTTGAGAACTTTTTTGATCAAATTCGCCTTCAACTTTTTTAAATTTTTTTTTTCTGAGACGAGGTTTCTCTGTGTAGCCTTGTCCTGTACTCCCTTAGTAGACCAGGCTGGCCTCCAGTTCACAGAGATTCACCTGACTCTGCTGGGATTACAGGCGTTCACATCTGTGTCCAGAAGTCCCTCCTGCTTTTTTTTTTTTTTTTTTAATTTTAATAACCCATGGACTTCAGTTTGTGCTGTCAATATACTTCTGGGTATGGGGCCATTCACTGAAACATGGCAGACTATCAGGCGCCACACCTTTAAAGAAGTAAAAATCTTGACTCTGCCTAAGACACAATTGACTTCGGTCTTCAGGAGTGAGAGCTCAGGTACCCCGTTCCCACTCCATGGTAGAATGTTGACTGCCCTGATCATCTGCAGATCTTGTTTGGACAAGCATAGCTACAAGTTCTTGAGAGCAGTGATCCTGTTATTTTCAGAAGACATCATTTTACTCCAGTCCATCACAACCTTTGGATCTTACCATCTTTTTACCCCCTCTTCTGAGATGCTCCCTGAGCCCTTGGGGAAGGGATGGGATATAGCTCTCACAGTTAAGACAGAGCAATCCACTGGTACTTATTGTCCACACTTTGACCAGTTGTAAAATCCTGTGTCGATAACGGTCCACCGCACAGAGAAAGTACTCTGCTGAGGTCTGAGAGATGCACAAATCTGTGGGTAGAGAGATATCGATATAAAGGGCAGTTTGATGCTATGTCCATTTAGCAAAACAATAGTACTAGGCTCACCCTCTGGGCCTGTAAGCTCTCCAATGGCCAGACTTTGCAATACCAGGCATATTTTCCTTCTGTGAATTAGATCCCACCAGAAAGCGGTTATTAGTTCCGTATCATTCATGCCACCATGGTATCAGTGTGCACACCTTGCCACGCATTGCCTTGTCATTATTGCAGTTCACAAGGATCACAGCTGGGTAAGACTGTTAATAACTCCTCCACCCCCAGGAGCCTGCACAGCACCTTCCACTACAGTTAGAACTAGTCAGCAGGGCGGAAGCTTCCTTGACAGTACTGACTTGATTGCCCCATGTTCAGGGAATGATGTGTCTTCAGCAATAGGGTTCTTATCATCAAGTGATGGTGAACAACCAAGAATGATGGCAATAGCTTATATTATTTTGAAGGGTAGTGTCTCTCTCCTGTAGCACAGCTTTTTAATTGGCTATTCTGGGCTGAGCACATGTGGGCATTCTGGGCCAAGCTTCTGCTGATGTGACAGTGGAAGTACTCGGGGGGACAGAGGGTGTATGTCCTGATGTTGGGGAGCCTGCCCGGAAACCAACAACCAATGACAGGCTCAGAGATGGTGTGGAGGAACCTGATTGGTCCCTCAAAGCTCTCCCTTTAGGGAATAAAAGAGCTAGCCCTTGGATTGCATTCTCCAGACTCCCAGTCTCTTTGTAGTGACTCCAGGGTCTCTCACCCCCTTGGCTTGGACCCTCTGTCCATGTTCCAGCATTCTGCTTGTTCCAGCCTCGAACGCTTAATTTGCTGTTTCTCATCAAAGCCTGCTTCCAAGAGAGCTTTGAAGAAAGCTACTAATCTCAGTGGGTCTATCATTTTAGACTGTTCCAAACAGGACTTCTTTTAAGCCTGAAATTTCTCAACATTCAAAGACTGGACTACAAATCTTAATGCTTGCTTAATTAACTATTTTCCCCAATTTCCTTTGAGCCTTCTAACAACATTTCCACATGTCCATAAAATCAGGCAGGAAAAAATCTGTGAGAAATTTCTCTTAAGGGGGGTTGGGTAGGTTTTTGGTTGTTTCTGTGGCTATGAATGTTTATTGTCATTGGGAGATCGTTATAAGTTATTAATGAGCTTATTCAGAGAGAAAATAAGGTTCTGATATTAGGTAATGAAAGTTAATTGTTAGTTAATCAACTCATAGTCAAGTCAGACACTAGTCTAATTTATCACAGGAGTATCTATCCTAAGTTTAACAGATAAATATGATTCCATAGACAGGTAGATTATATAAAGATAGGTAAGTCTTCAAAATCCTTAGAGACCTACAGAATATGGCATTTAAAATGTTTTTATTATTTTAAAGACTCTTTGACAATGAGACAGGCCATCTCCTGGCTACACCTAGCCTAACTCAAAAAAGATGATAAGCATCAAAGAACTTCCATATGGTGATGGCTTCAAATGTGGCAAACTAGCCACTTGGGTAAAGAATATGCCCTCACTTCATGACAGAAAGAATTCTGCTAAAAATGGGCAAGCTTAAATGTAGGCTAAGTGGACTGCAAAGACAGGGTGAGCAAGTCCTAAATAGTTCCTGCTTCATCTACATGTCTGTCAAATATACTGAGCCAGAAGTCTGAATATGATGCTCCAATATTAAAAAGAGCTTTTGGTGATTGTTCATGCAACAAACTGTCAATTTTCTATTTTTTTTTTTTTTTTGGAAGCTGCTAACATGCACTTTCTATTTACTCAAGTAACTAATTTTATTCCTTCTCAAGTCTCTGGTGGGGTTGAAGACCAAATAGTTATAGTTCCACAATTAAGCTTGAGTTGTTTAGAATTTAAGAAAAAAATTTATATAGGTAATACCAAAAAGAATAAAATTTAATTTAGATATAGAACTTTAAACTTGTCAAGAAAGGATAGATAATCAAATGCTTTCTCCTAAGTATTGCCAAATGCACATGGACTGGACATTGCACATGTAAATCTCACCTAATAGTTTTCATAATGTTTTTATAATTATTATTGTATTGAAAGAAAAGGAGCCTTTTATTGGACTTAAAGGGGGAAATGTTGATATAATGTTCTTGTGGAATGTTTATAATTTACTCTTGCTCATTCAAATGCTGATTTCTCTACCCCACTATCAATCCAGATATTGCACGGTGATGCTTATTTTAAGCACCACCTGTCTCAGGTTTGTGTAAACACACTACCATTTGTTCTCTGTATTGCCAATAAAACAACCAGCCAATGCTGAGAAATAGAGAGAATAGGGCAGAACATCTGGTTTGGAAAGGACGTGAAAAGAGGAGTGAGAGGAGGGACCAGGAAACATCAGGAGAGATGAACTGAACCTAAGATATGACTAAAAACAAATATAATATAAGAAATCTGAATGGGAGGAAACTATGCAGCCCTGGAGGTTTAGGATGGAGTAACTATTGCCCAGCATTGTGCTCTAGGTTAATTAAATAAATCCTAGTCTCTGTATGGTGATTTGGGTGTATAGCTGGTTTAGGAATAACCACTGTTTAACTAAAATATAAATCAATATTAAATATTAGTAATCATCAACAGGCTCAATCCTCTTGTGTAGGGTAAATCCAATAAACTCTCCCCCTCTCTCTTTCTCTCTCTCAAACACACACACACACACACACACACACACACTCTCTCTCTCTCTCTCTCTCAACTGAGTCCATTTAGTGTTGGTTACCATATGGAATGGGTAATCTATCAGGAAGTTTGTTCCTGGAGAAAAATTCCCTCAGCAGCCATAGACTACTGCATTTCTTCATCTAGGACTGGGACCTTGTGAAATTTTTTCCATCCCATGCAAGTCACGTTGTGCAAGCATGTTGTTGAGGTTGCATGGACGCAGCATCTTTCTCTGATCTAGAAGACGCCTTCTCACAGCAGGCCTCCTGGTCCCCCGGCTTTTATAGTCTTTCAGATCACTCTCCCTTGATATTTTCTGAGTTATAGGTATCATAGATGTCTTAGTAGGGTTTCTACTGCTGTGCTAATCTATGACCAATAGCAACTTTGAAAGGAAAGGTCTTATTTCACTTCATAGTTGTAGTCCACTGCGAGGGGAAGGAAGTAAAGCAGCAGCCTGGAGCAAGAGCTGAAAGAGAAACCACAGAGAAGTGCTGCTTACCGGCTTGCTCCTCGTAGCTTGCCCAGCTACATGTCTTATACAATTTAGAACTATCTGCCCAGGCATGACACGACCCCTAATGGGCTCATCCTTCTCATGCCACCCACGAACTGAAAACATGCCTCACAGGCTTACCGACTGGCCAGTCTTAATGAACACATTTTTCTCAATCAAGAGTCCCCTTTCCTAAATGACTCTAGTTGTTGTTGTCGTTGTTTTTTCGCTTGTTTTTGGCTTTGTCAAGATGCCATAAAACTAACTAACACAGGGGTTAAATTCCATTGATATTAATGACATTTTTATTTTAGTTGGACTTTAGACTTTTTGTAACCAAGTACTAGCACCATTAAGTGAATAGCAATTTTTCAAATTGTTTTTACAGTGATGAACCTCATAGAAATCTCATACATAAGAGCTTGGATCAGCTGAGATGTCACTTTACATGGGAGCTGGCTATAGAAGATGTAAACATGCCTGATTTGGAAAGAAGAGTCTCATAGACTGAGTTCCCTTATACCAATGACAGCATGGAGATGTACAACCTCCTGGCCTTCGTGAGACACCTGAAAGGCCTTAACAAGGAAGCTCTGCAGAGCTTGAGAGAAGCTGAAAACTTGATCCAGACAGAGCAGGTGGGCAAGAGAAGCCTGGTGACCTGGGGCAACTGTGCCTGGGTGCATTACCACATGGGCAGCTTGGCAGAAGCCCAGACCTACCTGGCCAAGGTGGAGAATGCTTGCAAGGAATTTGGAAGTCGCTTTCCCTATAGGATGGAGTGTGCTGAGATGGACTATGAGGAAGGCTGGGCCTTGCTGAAGTGTGGAGGATCAAAGAACTGTAGGCAAGCCATGTCCTGCTTTGCAAAGGCTGTAAGAGAGGAGCCTGAAAATCCTGAATACAGCATTGGCTATGCAGTTGCAGCCTATCGTCAGGATCATAATGAGCCTAGTATTTCTCTAGAACCTCTAAAGAAGGCTGTCAGGTTAAATCCAGAAGATCCATACATTAAAGTTCTCCTGGCCCTAAAGCTTCAGGATTTGGATGAACCAGATGAAGCAAGAATGTATATTGAAGAAGCTCTGGGCAGAATATCCTCCCAGCCCTATATCTTTGCATATGTGGGCAAATTTTACCGAAGGAAAGGTTCTGTAGACGAAGCTCTTGAATGCTTTGAACAATCCTTGAAGGCAAATCCTTTCTCTGCTTTCGTGCATCACCAGATTGGGCTTTGCCACAAGATACAACTGACCCAAATAAAGGAAGCTACAAACATGCGACCTAGAGGGCAGGATAGAGAAAGAGCAGACCAAGCCATCCATTTGGCTAAACGTCATTTTCAAAAGACTTTAGATCTGAAACCCACATATGAGATAGCTTACATTAATCTGGCTGAAATGTGCATAGAAAGTGGCCAATTTGAGGAGGCAGAGGAAAATTTTCAGAAAGCGTTGAGCCTGAGGGATCTTGATGATCATATACAGCAGGAAATTCATTTACGCTATGGCCAATTCCAACAATTTTATAACAAATCAGAAGACACAGCAATCAGCCATTACTTAAAAGGTCTGAAAATAGAAGTGAGTTCCCTTTCCAGGAACAAGCTTCTCAAGGCTTTGGAAAAACTGGCTGAAAGACGCATTCACCAGAATGTTCGAGTTGTGGAAAGCAACAGCCTGCTTGGGTTTGTCTATAGACTGAAAGGGAAGATGAGTAAGGCCCTGTTGTGCTATGAGAAGGCCTTGAGGCTCACAGAAGCACTGAACCCCGAGTTTTAAAGCACAGCCCATCCAGTGGCACTTTTAAGTGTTCGCATGGCTCACCATTCTATCCTTTTATAGCTGGGTACCCCAAATATATAGAACCCAATGGAACAAGTTGGAGATGGCGCCTTCTCTGTTTTCTGCCTTTCTACAGCTGTGCTTTTTTGTTGTGGATCCATGTGTCTGTGACAGGAGCTTCTATTCTCCTACCACATATTGCTGTACTCACTGACAGGTTGGTTCCTGCTGTTCTGGACAACTGTGTGCTTCTGGACCAGCAAGAACCATTTTTTTTTGTGTGTGTGTGTGCCTTTGGAGTGCATGACCAATACCCTCAGTCTTCCAGAACCCTGATCAAAAGTCCTTTGATCAAGGAAGGCTTAGTTTTCATGCTTCGGGAATTTCTGGCCTTCAGCAATAACTGAGAGCAAAATAAATGACCAAGGATGAGCATTAAAAAGGGGAGGAATTCAGGACTTTCCTACAACATTTCAGTCCATACTTCCATTCCCATGGGTTCTATTGTTACCATAACATGCTGGTCAATGAATCCAACCTTATAATCAATGCAACTTTTTATATACAAATGTCTGATTCAGACAATCGTGGTAGATTTATGTGGTCTAAATACATTGGCATTTATTTACAGCTAAGAAAACTTTCAATGTATTCAGGGAACATAGAGTAAGGGAGTAACCTCTTTGGAATGTGCAAACTAAAAATGGCATAAATAGCTACATGACAGTGTTTAAACTACTGAGAGTTGTGTAATATTATCTTGTTATTTTTCTAACCCTATAGCATTCAATAAAATCTGCCAATATCACAGAATTTTGAGTATCCTTTGTTTGTGACATTAAGATCCATACTCTATGACTGTATGACAACAGAACACAGCAGAACCCACCTATATAGGGCTAGGAGAAACAAAGCAAAGAAGCTTTGAATATACACACTACTGAATCTTAAAGAATACAAGGCAGGAAGTGGGGAGGAGGGTAAGATATCAGAAAGATGTCTGAAAACTCATAAAACATCATACTCCACAAAGACCAAATATATCTGGGCACAGGGGTCTTTTCTGAGACTGATTCTCCAACCAAGGGCCATGCATGAATATAACCTGGAACCCCTGCTCAGATGTAACCCATGGCAGCTCAGTATCCAAGTGGGTTCCCTAGTAATGGGAACAGGGACTATCTTTGACATGAACTCAGTGGCTGGCTCTTTGACCACCTCCCCCTGAGGGGGAAGCAGCCTTTCCAGGCCACAGAGGAGGATAATGCAGCCAGTCCTGATGAGACCTGATAAGCTAGGGTCAGATAAAAGGGGAGGAGGACCTCCCCTATCAGTGGACCTAGAGAGGGACATGGTGGGGAGAGATGAAGAAGAGAGGGTGGAATTGGGAGGGAATGAAGAAGGGCGCTACAGCTGGGATGCAAAGCAAATAAAATGTAATTAATGTAAAAAATAAAAATTTAATTAAAAAATCATACTATTAAGTATTTACCTAAAATACATATAATACATGTAAGTCAATATATACATGTAAAGTTTCAGTGAAAATTTCCCATCTGGACTGATAATATTTTCATAAAGAACCATAGACTTACAAAAATTCCAATACCAAGTGCAAGAATCCCCCTTTGAGTTGTCAGTCAAGGTTGTCTAAAAGAGTCGCAGAACATTATAGGATGCTGCTGTTGCTCTTGGTTGCCCCCTGAAGTGGAAGGTAAATTCTTTCTGCTGAAGACACCATGCACTTTGGACTTAGGACCCAGGAAACCCAAGTTGGATCTGAACTGAAAGCCTCCTACTGGAAATCTAGCTTTTATGGTAGCAGGTGTTGACATTCAAGCTTTCAAAGTAGGGAAACAACCAATAGTACTGCCTAGCTATGATGCTCATAAACCACAACAAAACCAGAATGAAACTAGGACAGTCCTAAGGATGCAATAGTGGCATGTGTACCTTGGTGGTAACCAACAGTTCTCTAATGGGATTTAAGACTTGCTCAACAAGAGGGAAATCAGACCTGGTGCTGGAAACTTATCCAGCTCCTTAGAAGTAGTGAAGTCATGAATCTTAGAAGAGATTCTACAACTACCATTTTACTAAATTAGCATAATCCCTAACTTCTTTCAAAACAACTATTCTTATACCAATAAATGAGTGTAGTTCTTACTCCTCATCAAGAAAATGATATTTATGACAGAAATAGACCATTATAGAAAACCACAATCAATCAAAACACAGAGTTATGAAGCCTCGTCCCATCATGTATGTCTATATCACAATTTCTACACCTGAGGCTTGGGGATCATTACAGAAGAGAAAGTGGAAAAATATTTAAAGGCCAAAAGAACAGGAAGCTTTGTGTGAGATTGTGTCTCCTATAAATGTCAGAGACATTAAGCCCATAAAGTCTCACCAACATAACTTCCTAAATATGACTGTACCAAGAGGACACCAGTAGACATGCTAAAGTGGAAGTGGAAAAACTCAGGAGGCCTTAACCCTAGGTAAAAGAACTACAGAGAACTAAGGAATGTTGAGAATGGGAGAAATAGTCTTCCCCAGGAAGAGAAAACCAATTGGTTATCCAATACCAAAGGTCAGCTCTGAGAACATACACATGTAAGTATCATTACACAGACTGACCGTGTACATGCACATGTACATTGCATGGATAGATAGATAGATAGATAGATAGATAGATAGATAGATAGATGGATGGACACATAGATACATAGATGGATACATAGATAAAGAGATACAGAGAGACAGAGACAGAGAGAGGGAGGGAAGGAGAGGATATATATATATATGTGTGTGTGTATATATATATATATATATATAGAGAGAGAGAGAGAGAGAGAGAGAGAGCTTATTAGAAAAGAGAGTCTGACATGATCTGATTGGCCTGCTCTTTAATTACCTCCCCCTGAGGGGGAAGTAGCATTACCAGGCCACAGAAGAAGACAATGCAGCCACTCCTGATGAGACCTAATTGACTAGGATCAGAAGGAAGGAAAAGAAGACCTCCCCTATCAGTGGACTTGGGAAGGGGCATGTGTGCAGAGGGTGGAGGAAGGGAGGGAACCACAGGGAGGATACAAAGTGAATAAAGTGTAATTAATAAAGAATTAAAATAAATAAATAAATAAAAGAGAAGGGAGTCTCAGAAACACTGATAAAGAAATCTCAAAAAAAGAAAAAAGAAATCTCAAGCTGAACTCAGCTATCTTTTCAATTTAATTCTAAGCAAACAAAATGGCTACTGTTAGAGTTTGGATAGTTTGCTATATCTTGATAGATAACTGATACATTATGCCTTTATTTCCCTCTGCTTGTATGTGTTGTGGGGACATGACAAATGGTGCTATGTTTTCTTCAGCTGAAGGAAACTGAGAAAAAAAAATATATATATAAAAGTACTTGAAGCCCTATATTATCAGGTGTGCAATCTACTGCCTTCTAAACTAGTGAGTTTTGTTTGTTTGTTTTTTGTTTTTTTTTTTTTTACAACAAGAAAAGTTTAGGAACTAGTAACAATTGTGTTTGGAAATGGCACAGTCCTTTTCATACACACCTCTGTGACTTGTGTTGCTGCTTTTTCCCCCTACCCATCTTATAATATCTTAGAATGATGATCTATTGAATTTCTGAGTGACATGTACTATTACATAAAACATTTTATTATTATAATTATTAAGTAAGTGATGATAAATGGGGGTACCTGACAAGGAAATCCAAGGTTACTGGGTAAATTTATTCATTATGGTATTGTCCCTTATGTATGCCTCTCACTTTGAATAAATGATTGACTTTGCAATTAAAAGTATGTGTGTCCTTGTTTTTTATTGCTGAGTAGTATTCCATTGTGCAGATGTACCACAATTTCTGTATCCATTCCTCAGCTGAGGGACACCTGGATTGTTTCCAGGTTCTGGCTATTGCAACTAAAGCTGCTATAAACATGGTTGAGCAAATGTCCTTGTTTTGTATACTTGAGTCTCTTTTGGATATATGCCTAGGAGTAGTATAGCTGGATCTTGAGGAAGCGCTATTCCTAAGAAGGAGGACTCTGGATAAGATGTTCAATCCCCATTCAGAAAGGCAAAGAGAATGGACATCGGAGGAGGGAGAAAACAGGGAACAGGACAGGAGCCTACCACAGAGGGCCTCTGAAAGGCTCTACCCTACAGGGTATCAAGGCAAATGCTGAAACTCATAGCCAAACTTTGGGCAAAGTACAGGGAATCTTATGAAAGAAGGGGGAGATAGACCTGGAGGGGAAAGGAGCTCCACAGGAGAGCAGCAGATCCAAAAAGTCTGGGCACAGGGGTCTTTTCTGAGACTGATACTCCAGCCATGGACCACTCATGGAGATGGACTAGAACCCCTGCACAGAGGTAGCCCCTGGCATTTCAGTGTCCAAGTGGGTTCCATAAAAATAGGGACAGGGACTGTCTCTGACAAGAACTGATTGGCCTGCTCTTTGATCACCTCCCCCTGAGGGGGAGCAGCCTTACCAGGCCACAGAAGAAGACAATGGAGCCACTCCTGATGAGACCTGATAGACTAGGATCAGAGGGAAGGGGAGGAGGACCTCCTTCATCAGTGGACTGGGAGAGGGGCACAGGAAGAGGAAGAGAGGGTGAGATTGGGAGGGAAGGAGGGAGGGAAGTACATGGGGATACAAAGTGAATAAACTAATTAATAAAAATAAAAATAATTTTTAAAAAAGTATGTGTATCTATGCTATAGTATGACATTCTCATATATGTATAAGCTGTGGAGTGTCTGTATAACCCACTAACATGAATCCCCTTGAGTACTTCTGTAAGTTTTCAGTTACTAAACTAACTAGAAAATCATTTTAGAATTCATTTCAGACATTTTATTGCCAGAATTTAGTTCCCTGTCTTGGGAAAAGAAATTTATTCAAATACCAACCTTATTTATATTTTATTGGTTTGCTGTGCATAACCTATGGCTATAAATTATACTCATAAAAGAATTAAAAAGAGACTGTGGTGCTGAGCACGGTGCCACACACCTGAAATTCCAGAACAAGAGAAGCTGAAGCCAGAGAACTATGAATTTGAGAGAAGCTTTGGGTTACGCAGCCATTTCCGGCCAACCTGGCTTATGCAGGAAAACCCTGTCTGAAAACAACAACATCAAGACCAACAACATCAATACAGCCTGCAGAGGAACAGTACAAGACTCTTCTGATGGCTGATGGAAGTGAAACCGTCAGTGCTGGCGAGAGGCCGACGAGTTTGAATGACCCGTGACCACCCCGATGCACTTTGTCTTTAGGCTAGTCTAGTACCTGTGTCCTCACACACTGATGGGAGGGCATTTACTCAGGTGTCTCTGCCCTTTCCCCAAAAATGTGGCCAAAGAATCAGCTGCTAACTGTGCACAGACCTCGGAGGGATCCTGGGGACTAGACGAGGAGTGGCTCTGTGCAGAGGTAGATACTGAAACAAGTATGTTTTGGATAACACGTTATGCGTTCATGATTTCCCATCATTCTAGCAGAAGAACCATCATTAGATGTCTTTGAAAATGTTATACATGTACATAACATATTTTGATCATCTTCAACTCCCACCAATTTCCTCTCTCTATTCCGCTAGACTCCCCACCATGTTTCCCTCCTAACTTTTTAGCCTGTCTTTTTCTTATATAACTCTCATTACCTCCTCAGAAAGGGGAGTAGGGGTCTCAAAAACCACCCCTCATCCTAGCAGAAGAAACTTTGAGATTTCATATTACTTAGTTCCCCATGCCTTACCACAACACACACAATTGTCTGTATTTTTGAGTTGAAAACTTTTAGATTTATTATAGCATTTCAGTTTGGCACACATCTTCACCTTTGGACCGTTGTCAGGAATACACACAAATGTGTGGTAAAATAAAAGAGTGCAAATAAAATAAAATGTGCAAAGAATATTCTAGGGTTAGGCAAAAGCGAACCTTTCAGGCTTAGATAGCTGTGTTGAAATGGAATGAAGAAATAAGAATAACTGTTGTTGCCTGCTGCCATATATTACAGGGTAAAAATTGTGACTGAAAAGTGAGCACACCTCTCACAGGGCAGAGTGGAAAGACACACTTTCTATTGTCCTCAGGCTCAGATGTTGTCAGGAAAAGACAGCCTGTGTCCTAAATTGTGTGTTTCCTCCTCCCACCCCAATCCAGCTTCTGATTTATTCCCCAGGGATGCCAAGAATCCAGCACATTTTTCTACCACAGGTTAGTATCTGCATTCTCTGTTTGCCATTTCACCTTTTTGTTCTTGATTTATTTTTCATTTTTGGGAAACTGCAATAAATTCTTCAGGGCATCAAGGTCTTCAGAATTCCTGTGATACTCCTGGAGGTTGCAATAGCTCTCATAGAGTTGTTGTTCCTCAGCGCTAGGGCTCTCCTTGCTGAAGACCATCTGATAGCAACTCTCTACATCCAGGAATTCGGTGAGATCTGAGTAGGAGTTCAGAGGACTTCGCCTCCTCTGCAGAGCCTTGTGCATGTACTCCATCATTAATCTTTTCAATTCATCCATCTTCTCTCTGCTCTCGCTGGTTTCAGCATCTCCTGTATCTTGCGATTGCTGCAGTTGTTTCCTGAAATGGCACATGATCAGGAAGTACAGGGGACTGTTGTTTGCTGTGGATCTCAGTGCTCTCATAAGGAATTCCGTAGCTCTGTCTAGGTTACCCTTTCTCTTGTAAAAGGTGGCTGCCTTTTGGAGGACATCTGTTTGATTAGGAGCCTTTCCCAGGGCATCTTCAATCAATTGCTCCCCTTCAGCTTCCTCTCTCATCCTCTGCAGTTTCAGGGCCAAGAGAGCTTTGACATACTGGTTGGAGGAATTGAGCTCCATGGCCTGCTTCAGAGCATCGACTGAGTGCTGCTCCTCGGGGCTTTCTTCTAGGCGGTACATGGCAATTGCCATCCCAGAAGAGCATTCTGAGTCAGCAGGCTTCTCTTCTAGAGCCTTTTCAAAACACACTTTGGCTCGTTCATTCCTTCCACACTTTAGACGTGTCCATCCTTCCTCACAGTCAAGTTCTGGACATTCCATGCTGTAAGGATTTGCGAACTTCTTGCAAACACATCTCACCTTGTCAACATAAGCCTGAGCTTCTGAGAAGCGGCCCATGTGATAGCAGATCCAAGCATAGTTCCCCCAGGTGACCAGATGTCTGATTTCTGATTTCTCATCCTGCTTTAGCTTCAGTAGGTCTTCAGCTTGCCCCAAGCATTCCAGGGCTGCTTCGTTTTCACCATCTAGGTGTTTTATGTAGGCCAATAAGTTGTACATTGTCGCTTTGTCCTCAGAGTTTAAAAAATCAATCTGGTTACACACCCTTTCTTCCATATGAGTCGCCATACTTCCTTCCCTGAATAAGTTCCAGGTGAAATGGCACTTGAGCTGTGGGAGGACTTTTTCCAGAGAGTTCCTGATGGCCTCACTGTGGAGAAAACAAACACACATGGTCACCATGGAACACTCGCACATCTTGTGTATCCTGTAATGGTAATTTAACATGTAAACTTGACTGAGGACATTGAAATGCCCCGGGACATTGGAAAAATTCACCACCTTCTTAGGGATGTTGAACTTAGCGTGAGCCATGGGCTCCAGAATATGTTTGGTTTTTGGCGATACTTTCCAATTACTACTTTCTCAGACCTGAAACACCCATTAAACATTCAAGCTTTGTTTATATCCACACCTTTCCCACTCTTCCACCTGCCACCCCTTTCCGGTAGTCTGCACACAGATTCACGCATCCATTGATTTCTACACTTAACGAATGGAAGGCTGGGTGGTGAGCACTTCATCTTGTGAGGCCTGTGTAACCCCATTTCTGAAAAAGAAACTCCATCTTAAGGGTGAGTGACCTAGGCATAACCTCCAGTTTCAAAAAGGAGAAAAACCCATTAAAAAACGGGCTTCGACTACTAACCTCTGATAAGACTTAACCATCACCCCTTGCAACAGCTAATCAGTGAATACCTGAAGTTTACCAAGGTGTTCTTTACAATAGGATGAGTAAAACAATTATGGTTTGGCCCTCCGGGCAGAAAATTTCCTCCGAACACCCAGTATTTGCTAAATCTCAATCAATCATAGAACTGCTAAGCTGGAATTTCCCAAACCTTGCTGTAATCCTAAATAAAAACCTCTCTCTCCCTGAGCTTGTGGCTCTACACTCAAGAACAGCTGAGTGGTGATGGTGTGGGCCTGAGCTCGAGCTTATAATAAAAGCCCTACTGTATTTGCATCCGTATTGATGGTCTTTGGGGGTCTGTGAGACTTGGGCATAACAATCTGAAAGTCAGTTGTGCTCTCATTTCAGCGTGAATATGAAATATAGAAATAGTCCCATCCCCATGCTTCCCCTCCCCCCCAGATCTATTCATTCAAGAGTTTAGAATTCCCTGATGTTTGCATTTTAATCATATACAAAAGCTGATTATGATTTAGGACACAAGCATAGCACAATTTGAGAGGCTGTAATACTATATCCCTGTTCCTAGTTTATAGGGTAAAGAGTATCGCTAGCAGGTCACAGAGAGGTTGGTCCTGATAATGTGCTTCCCAATTCAGATAAAACAAATTTCAAAGTGTGGTAGTGCTCATCTTCAATCCCAGAACTTGGCCGGGGGTGGGGAGGCAGAAGTAGGCTGACCTATGTGAGTCTGAGGCCAACCAGGGTGATATAAATGAGACCCTGTCTCAAAAAAATAAATAAAGTAAAATAAAAAAGTAAATTCAAGTTCTAAATGACCTAATCATGAGCTGGAGTTTTAGATTACAGAATTAATCATGAACACACTTGATAAGGAGTCAATCCACAGACTCTGGTTTAGTCTTTTTAAATATAAGAAACTACAGTGGAACCCAAAGGGCTGTCTTTTAGGTCTCAGATTTCATGGGCCAGATTGTTCAGAAAGAGGCTTGACCCATGTGTCTTTCTCTGCCTTCTATTGCCACCTGCTTCTGTCCTTCCTTGGACTAACTGCCAAGGAGAAAGATGCTATGATGGTTAATTTTCATTGTCAATCTGACGGGATTTATAATTATCATAGAAACACTCCTTTGAGTATGTCTACCCAAAGGAAGGTGTTTCTGGTTGAGCAGTGAAAACTCTCCCTAAGTGTGCGTGGCAACACCCAATGGGCCAGAATCCAAGGCCTTTTTTTAAGAAAGAGAGAGAGAGAGAGAGAAATATAGAAAGAAAGAAAGAAAGAAAGAAAGAAAGAAAGAAAGAAAGAAAGAAAGAAA